CAAATGTGCCCTGCATGACACTAACATCCTATCAGGTGGGGCCTGCACAGAAGCCCTGATGCTCTCGCCTCTGGGCTCCAGGCTCGCTGGGACCTGGCCTCTGCGCTGCCGGCGCCTGCAGGTCCTGCTTCTCTGCCTGCAGCCTCCTCACCTCTCTTCACCACTGAGCAAACACCTGTTCGCTAAAATCCAGCTCAGGCGTCTTCTCCTCTGTGAAGATTTCCCAACTCCCCAAGGATGGCCAGCCCGTCCGTTCCCTGAGTTCCTGGACAGTCTGGTTTTGATTACTACGGAATAATTCACACACATTAGCACACAGACCAGCTCGGCATGCCGGCCTCCCCAGTGGCCCCTGGCTGCAGCCCTCCTGCAGGGGAGGAGGAGGATTTGTGCCACCTTCGCGCCGGGCAGGGAGACTGCCTCCCGATGACCATCCAGGCCCGGGACCCGGCACGCAGCAGGTGCTCGAAGACTCGCTTCAGCTCTCACTCTGCGGCCCAAGGAGGGCCTCTGTACTTTTCCACGACTCATCAGAACAGGGACTGAGACAAGTTAGATTGCCCAGCACTCTCTGCTAAGTAACTCGCATCTTGTGATGAAGTCCACTCCTTCCTGCCCTGGGCTAAACCTGCGTATTATTGTTCTTATGCGAAGTGAATGCTGTTTCCATATGAGACGTGGTATTTTTAGCAGTCCTGTTATGATAAACTCACGGTAACCTCAAAAAGAACAAATCAAAGTCAACTTTTTGTCACAGGAAATCAGCTCACGCTTAATGTTTTCTAACATGCCATGGGAGAATAATAAAAAGATGAGACCTGCTGCTCACAGACGGTGTGGCCAACTCTCAAGATAGTGGAAAAATGCAGCAGGAAGCCTTTAGTCTGGCCACTATCTCAGTAAGTAAACTGGAAAAACACTCAACACCCAAACCAGGCAAACACACACACCTGGCCGGCGAGGCAGCTGCGTCCTGAGGCTGAACTGTGAATGATGCAGTGAGAACCGTCTATGTGTGAGGGGCCGGCCGGCACAACGGTGGAATCAAAAGCCCGAGGGGTGCCCGGGGGAGCAGGCGGGCAAGAGGGCCCTGTGGGGACCCCAGTGAGCAGGCCGCTCTCCCTCTAGAGTGGAGCAGATGACCAGACAAGCAATAACCAATCTCTCACACAAAAAATATTCCTCAAGTACCTACTATGTACTCCAGCAGGCAATGACAAAACAAAGCCAGTTTCTCCACCAGGTACTCTACGAGTGACCGCAGGCAGCGCTGCCGAAAGGATGCCGAGGCTACAGGACAAGGGCCCCAGCAGCCACGTTTGCCACAGGTGAGGGCTGAGGGAAGAGGAGGAAGCATGTATCTGCCATCCTTGGCCTGGATGATATGTGGGGTCGCGTGCTTTCAAAATTCTATGACTATTATAGAACTCTACATGCGAAAACGGCTAAGATGGTAAAATTGAACTTGAAACTGAAAAGATAACTAGTACAATTTAGAAGAAAGAAGTAAACATGTGGGATGTATTATCCAACAAGTGTCACAGGCAGAAAATTTAAAACCCAACACAATTCCTGCTATGATAATACCTACTCAAGTATGGAATTAAGGGTAAACTGAGTCAGTTCCAAAACTTCTACCACACAGCTGCAAAACCCCATGCCAACACAAGCGCACGGAACTCCACGAATAGCACAGGTCTCCAGGTCTTGCTCTGTGCTAAGCCTTATGCATGGCTATCACCTAGCCCCGCAAATGCCCTCTGAGGCAAGCGATCAGGATGCCCCCAGGGTCAGAGGGAATCTGAGTGAGCCCCGGGGAAGTCCGGGGCTCAACATCAGTCACCTAAAAAAATGGGAGAGCCAGGACTGAAAGCCAAGTTTGCTCTGATCCCAAAGCTCGTTCTGAACCGGGCCCCGCTGCCAGCCTATGGGTCATAACATGAAGGCTACTGCCCCTTCCTCACGACCTGCCTACTCCCCCGGCCCCTGGTACTTCTGACACTGACGGCCAGCAGCATCTGGATTAAATACACTGTCCCCACACTGTTTCCAAGGTATTGGCTATGCCTCCCCATCTCAGCAATGGGCTCTGAGAGCAGGGATGGCCATGGCCTGGGCCGTCAGCAGTCTGGGCCTTTTAAAACACCTATAGGGGCCCGCTCCGTGGCCGAGTGGTTAAGTTTGGGTGCTCCACTGCGGCGGCCCAGGGTTCGGATCCTGGGGGGGGCATGGCACCGCTCGTCAGGCCACGTTGAGGCAGCATCCCACATCCCACATCCCACAGCTAGAAGGACCTGGAACTAAGATATACAACTGTGTACACGGGGGGTTTGGGGAGATAAAGCAGGAAAAAAAAAAAAAAAAAGATTGGCAACAGTTGTTAGCCCAGGTGCCAATCTGTAAAAAAAAACAACAAAAGAAAACCTATAAATGGGGGTACAGCAGCTACCGCATATGAACGTCACGAGGATCCGATGGGCGCTGAGAACAGGGCCGACGTGCTATCGTTACCTGGTGTCTTACACAGTATTAACCAAACAGACTTCAAAGACCTGGGCTGTTCAGATCCCACCTCCTCTGCCATCTACAATCTGTGTCCTCCTGGGCAGAACAGTGAGCCTCTCTGGGTCTGTCTCCTCATCTCAAGAAACCAAACCGGGAACAATTCTTACTCTGTCTACCTCATAAGGGTGCTGTGACGACGAGCTAGAGGAGGAAACCCTGCAGACACTGTGAAGGGTGAGATCAGGGTCTCCCAGCCTTGGCACTGTTGACACTAGAGGCTGTGGAACTCCTTGTCGTGGGAGCTGTGCTGTGCCACGTGTCATGGGGTTTAGCAACAGCTTGCCCTCTCCCCACTAGACGCCAGTTAACTCCTCTCCCCATCCCACCATCAGTTGTAACAACCCAAAGTGTCTCCAGACACTGCCATTGGCCCCTGATGGGCAAAGTCAGCCTTGGTTGAGAATTATCAGATTACAGTAAACAAACACCAGTCGACTCCTTTTACAAGCAGCAGTTAGAAATGCTCCTGCTATACCCCCAACCTCTGCAAATTCATGGCTACTGCATCCTGAGGGCTATGTGCAGGGCACTGAGCCATTAGCTTCTCCCAAAGGACCAGGCTTCCATGCTCACTCTGAATCCAGACTGGGGAGGGCACTGATCTGACTCCAGCTGGCACTCTCTAGCCACACCATCCCAGTCCTTAAAAGCAGGTAATTTCTGAGTCCTACCACACTCACATGCACAAGACTCATTCCTACCAAACCCATTCAATTATTTCTATACAAATGGCTTTTTTTTTTTTTTTTTTGAGGAAGATTAGCCCTGAGCTAACATCTGCCGCCAATCCTCCTCTTTTTGCTGAGGAAGCCTGGCCCTGAGCTAACATCCGTGCCCATCTTCCTCTACTTTATATGTGGGACGCCTACCACAGCATGGCGTGCCAAGTGGTGCCATGTCCACACCCGGGATCCAAACCAGCAAGAAGCGGAATGTGCGAACTTAACCACTGTGCCACCAGGCTGGCCCCACAAATGGCTATAAAGTGCTTTAAAATAGTTCATCCCGGACCTTGAGAGAATTATGTTAAGTGAAATAAGCCAGCGAGAGAAGGATAATCTGTGTATGACTCCACTCATATGAGGAATTTAAAACTATGGACCAAGAACAGTTTAGTGGATACCAGGGGAAAGGTGGGGTGGGGGGTGGGCACAAAGGGTGAAGTGGTGCACCTACAACATGACTGACAAACATTAATGTACAATTGAAATTTCACAAGATTGTAACCTATCAATAACTCAATTAAAAAAAATAATAAAAATAAATTAAAAAAAAAATAGTTCATCCCCCACCTCTCCCACATTCCCATCTGGTCAACACCATTAATTAGTATGGGAAAAGCTTCATTCATAATGTAAAGATAAACGTTAGCCTCGTCTGATCGTCTTACTAGTTGACTGAGGAAGTTTTATATGATTTTACGTGTTTCCCTTTGAATGAGTACACATAGTGCTTGAGCAGGGAGGCACCTGTCTGACTATGGTACACAGCCACCGCCTGTCCTGACTTGGGGTGGGGGTGCTCCTGGGGTCTGCACAGACAAAGGGAAGGAGCGGTGGGGAGGCAGCTCTCCACGCAGCCCTGAGGAAAGAAAGGCTGAAGCCTGTGCAAACGCAACCTAACACTGCTTTGCCGACGGTGTACAGAAGAACTCCGTCTCTACCTCCATCTCCCTGAGAATGGGTCTTGGCTGTGCACACACTGACTCTCTCTGGCCTTGGAACGGACATGTGGCTCATGGGACCAGTGGCTAAGGGACTCCAGTATCCTGTGCAAAGCTTGTGCTACATAAACTATGACATGTAAAACAGAGTTGGGAAGCACGTCCCCTAAAGCACAAAAATGTCACGGTGATTTTTTTTCTTGGTGCTTTTTTGCTATTGTCTACAATAAACACGGTTATTTTTACACTAATCCACAAACCGATATTATTTACACACTTCCTTCCTGTGTAACTTTGGGAACCGAGTAACCTTAATCTCTCTGTGCCTCAGTTTCCTTGTTTGTAAAACAGGAATAGTATCTATCCCCAATGGCTCTTGCCAAGCACTCAATGTTCATCATTATTATTTTTTAAATATTCTACACATTTAAAAAGCGCCAGGCAGAGGAACACTGAGAAGCCAACCAATACTTCGCAACAGCCCCCCGAGCACGCGAAGGGCTGGTGAGGGACAGAGCCTCAGGAGAGCCAGGCCGGCTGGGAGGCCAGGGAAGAGCTCTGCGGAGGGGAAGCGGTGGCGAGCAGCTGCTTCATCGATGACCCCGTTGTCTCAGGCTCAACTTGAGGGGGCGGTTCACGTCAACAGATGATGAAACAAGCAAACCCCCCGAGATGTCAGAGCTTGCTGGCGGGCCTCAAGCGGCCTCCAGAGCCAGTGAGGGAGGAAGGCGCCCGGGCCTGCAGACACGTGGGAGGCCGCCGCAGCCCTCACCTTGGAGGAGGAAGTAGTCGGAGGCAGTGCGCTTCAGAGCCGCCTTCGCCTTGTCGCTGCTCCAGTCCACTTCCAGGGCTTCTTTAACGGAGCAGAAGGCCGCCTTCTGTGGGGAAAGGCAAGACGGCTTAGCGTAAAGAACTTGGCTGCAAATCACAAGGCAGCAGCTCCTCACCACCTACAAGTGCCATTATTTCAGGGTTACCGGTCAGCGCAAGAAGCTGAGGCCCTCGAATCCAACAACCTTTCCTGAGCACTCACTGTGGGCTCCCTGGGCACTGGGGACACAATGACGAACGACAGGCGCCCCCTGCAGTGAAGGGAGAGGAGCAGAGCCCCTATTGACCGAGTTCCATCTGGTGCTCTCTTTCACCTCGGCTGTGTCCACAGTGCAGAAACGCCAGCACGAGTGAGCAAGAACGTGTGTCTAAAGACAGTCAATAAAACATTCTTTGTGATAGTGACCAAAAACAAACAAAAATCAAATGTTTCTCAGTGGAGGAACGGTTTGACGATGACACGGGATGACAATACTAATAAACAACAGCACGACAAACAAGCAGCAGGATGGGCCGCAGGCTCCAGGCTGTGGAAATGGAGAAGGCGCGTGCAAAAGCCCTGCGGCAGGAGGAAGAAGAGCCGGAACCTGCTAAGCTAAATCAAATTATCTTGAGAAATGCATGACACATTCATATACGAAACATAAACAATTAAATATGAATGAGAAAATGGTTCTCCTTTCCCTTTCCTGAACAATTCAGTCTAAAAGCCATTTGTTGGGGGGCTGGCCCCGTGGCTGAGTGGTTAAGTTCGCGCACTCCGCTGCAGGCGGCCCAGTGTTTCCTTGGTTCGAATCCTGGGTGCGGACATGGCACTGCTCATCAAACCACGCTGAGGCAGCGTCCCACATGCCACAACTAGAAGGACCCACAATGAAGAATATACAACTATGTACCGGGGGGCTTTGGGGAGAAAAAGGAAATAATAAAATCTTTAAAAAAAAAAAAAAAAAAAGGCATTTGTTGGGACTTGGAAAAGTGTGTGTGCGTGGAGTGCTGGGTGGCCAGGCTGGAGGGGGCAGAGCAGAGTGGGGTAAGGAGGGCATCCCCAAGGGGCAGCAAGTGGGGACTGATTACATCCAAGGGCTTGATGCAACAAGTAAATATACTGAGAATCTGGGTGGTGAGGTTTCTCACTGTCAGAGAAGAAGAGAATCAGAAATACGGAAAGGGACCAACCAATGGATGAGTGGGTAAAAAAAACGTGGTACACATACACGTGCACGCGCATGCAATGGAATACTACTAAACCATAAAAAAAGATGAAACCTTGCAATTTGCGACGACATGGATGGACCTTGAGGGGATTATGCTGAGTGAAATAAGGCAGAGAAAGAAGAAAGCCAAATAGCCAAATACCATATGACTTCACTTATCTGTGGAAGATAAAAACAACAACAAATACACACATATGGAGACTAGACCGGTGGTTACCAGGGGGAAGTAGGGAGGAGGAGGGCGAAAGGGGTGACAGGGCACATCTGTACAGTGATGCATGGTAACGAGCCTCTGGGTGGTAAACACGATGAAGTCTATGTTATAAGCCAATGTTACCACAATAAAGAAAAAAAAAGAAATATGGAAAGAGAGAAAACTAGAATGAAACCTGTGGCGAGTTACTGGTGTGAACTCATTTTCAATATATACAGACAAAGAAAGAAACGTAGATCAAGTGTGTGTTTGTACACACAAAAATATTAACTAGCTATGTCCACTGACAGGGTCTAAAATATTTTAAAAGGCACAAGCACACCAAACATCCAGATCACGGTTTCTAATAACCATTCCCTACGCAGAGAAACATTTCTCCTTGGAGAAATGACTGATTTCAAAGCTGGGGCAGGGAGAGTACACGAGCAGCCTGGAACATCTTACTGTGCCTGAAACAAGGAAGTGCTCAAAGAATGATGGGGACTCGTCACGAGGACACAGGAGTCAACTTAAAGGACCTCCCCCTGGTCAAATCTGGAACAATTTAAGGGTAAAAATAAATAATCATCGATTACAGTACTTTAAATAAACCAGAATCCATTAGTCCATAGACCTAAAATTAACTAATTAATAAGATTTGATGAGGAATGGGATGTTTACATATTTTCAAAGTACCTCTCCACAAAATACATATTAGTCACAGAGGGAAAAGAGGAATTGCTCTTAAAGGCGAAGTCTAGCAGACATAATCTTACCCAAATGATCAAAGTCAACATTACCAGTAAAGGGGCAGATGGAAACCATGTATCAGATCACAGGATGAGATGAGAAGCACCCATGCCATAATATTTTTGCCGAAGATGTGTAGCTGGAATCTAATCACAAGGGAACATCAGACGGACCCAAATTAAGGGATGTTTTACAAAATAGTTGCTTTGTTATCTTCAAAAGTGTCGCGAAAATCTAGACGCAGGCATGATGCTGAACCGGATCCTTTTGCCATTTACAGACATGACTGGAACAAGTGGTCAAACCTGAATGGGGTCTGAGGCTTTGACGGCAGTGATGCATCCATGTGAATTTCCTGACTGACAGTTGGTTTGTGATTAGAGAGAATGTCTTGTTGGAGAAAATGCAGCCTGACATATTTGGGAGTGATGGATGGGGCTTCATGTTGGCACCTTATTCTCAAATGCTTCTCAGTTCTAGCTACTTTGACTAAGTTTAAGATGGTGTGTGTGAGTGTATCAGTGATTTCAAACTTATAAAGGTGTGTCTCTCTTCCTTTCTTCTCTCCAAATACACACACACAGACACCCCCCCCGCCCCCCGGATACTTAAAGAAGAAAAGAGAAAGAAGACAACAATGGTATAATGGAGGAGGCTAGGTGAGCCAAGACCTACCAGCTCCCAGGCACTTTACACAGCTTGCTAAGGACCACAATGGTTTGACAGGTCAAAGTTCCAATTGCTAGTGAAGATAAAACACTCATGGTTTTTAAGGTAGCGTTCTGCCTCCCCATAATCACTCCTTTGAGGTTTGCAGCCATTTGTAAAAGCTAGTATACAAGATGTTGATACTGCCCTCAAATCTTTTGGTCAAGGGGTTTGTTTGACCTCAAAAGCTAAGTCACATAGTCAGCCTGGTGACATTTAGTGCCTGGTACAGACTGCCAAACTCTTCTGAACAAGTCTTACAACACAGATCAAACCATCTACACCATGGTCTGAGAATGCCACTAGAATGAGGAAACAAAGTCTCATCAGGTTTCAAAAACTACCCAGATCCTAATTGAGAACTTCTGTAGTTTGCCTGGCTAGGAGCAGCGCCAAGAATCTACTGATTTGTTAGGCCACTATACGGCAAATGAGGAAAAAAAAAGTTGTGTTTTAGAGTCTCAGTTGCAGGCAGGCCCACCTCTAACACTTTCAGGGCCTGGGGCGAGAGTACAAATGAAAACCCATACTGCATGTCTACATACTTAGTTATAAATCCCACTAACAAGCTATTAAATAAAATGTACTGTATTCTTCTGCCTGGAGAAATACACCTTATCATAATCAGCTAGAAGACCAGATTCAAACCTGGGATTCTCACCCTCCTTGGGAGTTCTGTGCCTGAACGAGCTGCACTGGGAAGGCTGCCCCCAGCCTTTCCCCCATCTCTTCCCCCTCCGGATCTGGGCCACAATGCCGGGGGCTTTGCACTGGAGGGTGGCCACCTGCCCCTCAGGCCTAGGCACGCAGACATGGTGGTGAGGTCTGTACTCTGCAGGCAGATTAGGGAAGCAGCCCGCAAACGCCTGGGAAGGAAGCCCAGGGTGGTCCGGGCAGGAGATTCTGAGGGTCCCCAGTATCCAGAACATGGTCTAGAACAGCGGGAACCACAGACTCCAGGTGGACACATCTTGATCCCACAGAATCCTCACCCTGAGGGAAACAGCTGGAAGGCGGCCGCGGTGGGAGCTTCTGCAGCACTGGGGCCAAGGACAGAGGCCCCTTCTCCTCCCCAGTCTACGGGCAGAACTATGCCCACTTCTCCCACTTGTGACTTTCGGTAATGAATCTGCCTCTCTCGGGCCTGTCTGGGGCAAACAACTTTTAGGGATGTTTCCTGGTGTCTGGGGAGGAGGCCCCTAGTGGCCTTGTCTGTCATATGTACTAGCCCTGCAGCCACAGAGGACAGAACCAGAGGTGGGCAGGCAGCCCAAGCCAGACCAGTCAGACCCTTTCCCCTGGGAATTGAGGCTTTAAAAGTTTGGACACAGAGACACTGATGGCAGGGCTCTAAAGAGAAAGGCCAAATTCCTGCTGCCCTGGTCTTTATCCTCCTCAGATGGCAGCAGTTACACAATGCTTCCTGTGCCACTCCAGCCTGCCTCCAATTAATGCCCCTTTTTTGTTCAAACCACCCAAAGTCTACTATCGTGGCTCATCACCACCACAGATAAGACTTCACCGAGTCGCTCAGCTGTAGTAGGACACATGCAGAAGGTGGACCTGCCCTACCCACCTCACTGGCATTGGACTGACGAAGAGAAAGCACACCCGACAGTGCTCTCAGGGAATGAAGGGTCGGTCAGCCAGCAGGGCCTGCCAGGAGCGGCGTCCACCATGCACTGAGCGGACCCACTAGAACCGGGCGCTCTCACGGCCCGTGCACCCTCCCACTTCTCCACGCCCTCGGCTCACAGACCCCTCCGCCTAGAAGGCCCAACCACTCCCCTCCACTGGCCATTTCCTTCCCTGCCCATTCTGGGCCTGAAGAATCACACTCTGATAGGCTAGTCAAGACGACTAACAAGCCCCCTGACACTGTCAGTGGACCGCCTCCTCAAACGGGCATCAGCTTCCTGTGGCAGGGACTACAGCGAAAGGCACAGCGCTGAAAAGACCAGATTTTCAACAAATAATACCCACGAGCTGACAGGATCCAACCTGATTTTCATTTGCCAAAATGCCCAACAATAAATATAAAAGATGAACTCTGCACAGTCTAGCAGCCACCGAATTACAGGGCCATGCCGAGCCCTTTAAAATAGTGGGAAACTGCAATCCCGTCAGTCCAGCAGGGGCCTGGTTCAACGGACGACAGCAGGGCAAAACGAGGGAGCCC